ATCCTAGAGTCATGGTCCAAAAGCTCTCTCTTGATCTACTGTGTTTCCATTAGATCATCTTTTTCTTTGCATAAAATTTTCTCCCATAATCTCAAAAAGAAAAATGCAAACAAACCTCATGTGAACATGCTTATTGCTTTTTCTTTCTTCCTTCTGTTTCCATTGTTTTTCAATCTGGCTTTCACACCAAGTCTACTTAAATAACTCTTGCTTAAACGTGACCTACTATGGACTTCTTAGCTATTTTTTCCCTTGAAATCTGAAGCACTTATTCTTAAAACATGACACTACTTATACCCGGTACTTCTTCTGTTTTTTTTTTTTTTTTTTTATCACAATGTGTCATCTTTGCTCTTAATTCCATTTCTTCACTGATTTTTGCAATGGTTATTTATTGGGTGCCTATTATGGGCACTCAAGTGAAGATCATAACGACTCTGGAGAGAGAGAGTCTAAGATTCTATTTTCTCTCTCCTTCACTAAAACCTTTGTGCTTTTCTCTTAGTGATCTCACCCACCACAAATGCTAATTTAGGTCTTCAATCATAACCTGCCACTGAACTTCATTCCTGTGGTTGCATGTGCCTTTTCTTCCTCTGGTTCCCTACCTGTTCCTCAAACTCCACAAGTTTTAAACAGCTGTTACCATATTCACTTACCTAGTCCTTCCTTTTTTTTTTTTTTTTTTTAGCCCTTCCTTTTAAATTCTACATATCTGCTAATATCATCTTCTAGTCAAGGAGGCTTTAAGGTTTAAAGTGATCTTTGTTCTATTCCTTAAACCTGTCTATGATTTTATCTTCATTGTTACTGTTATTTGCTTCTGCTTCTAGTGCTTTTACTTCCTTCTTGGAGTATTGTAGATAAATCAGTTGAACAGTGCAGGGATTGGGGGCATTGCCACCCCATGCAAAAACCCTTGTATAACTTTGACTCCCCCAAAACTTAACTACTAATAGCCTCCTGTTGACTGGAAGCCTTACTCATAACTTACATAGTCAATGAGCACCTATTTTGTGTGCCAGGTGTATTATATTCTATATTCTTACAGTCAAGTAAAATAGATGCTACGTTATTAAAATCAGAAGAGAGAGAAAACACATACTGTACTGTGCTTATTGAGAAAACTGTGTGGAAGTGGACCAGTGCAGTTCAAATCCCTGTCGTTCGAGGGCAAACTGTACTTTTAAAACCACCTTTCCAAAATCCTTCCTCCTCTTCTAAATAGGATCTAGTTCCTTAGCCTTGGCACTCACTCTTTTCTAACGACGGCTTACACCTTATGTCCCATCGGATCTTCTATTGCCTGGGTTTATACCCTTTGTCCCTCAGCATCACCTTCCCTACTTGTGCTTCTCACTTTCACACCCACGTGACTATACAAAGGCCATTGTTGCCATTCTTTAATCTCTGTTTAACTTTGTTCCTGGAATCCTATCCGTCTTTCAAGGTCCAACCCAAGCATTTACTTTCTTAGACCCCCCTTTATCCTGCTTCCCTCCAGATAGAAGAACTTTCCCCTCTTCGGAAACAGAATAGAATATTTTATTTCTTTGCCATTCATTGTATATAATATATTGTATCTTCCCATTTCACTTAGGAGGCTTTGAGGTCCTTGAGGATGGAAACTTGTAGCTTTCCTATTTATATTCTACAGGATACTAAGTTCCCTGCCTTACTCAATAAGCATATGTTAAAGGAATAAATTAGTTGAGAAGACCTCCCTCTCTTCCAAAGTGATTGCTCATCACTAATGTACACTGATAAAGTAATAAACTGTGTATCCTGGCAGAGTGGCCTTCAGGAATACAAAGTAATTGCTGTGCTTTTACTGACTTCTCCTGCTCTCTCACCTAGTTATACTGTTGAGAGGACACCTTCCCTGAGCCAGGCACAGGGAGCAGGGTACCAAGTCATGAGGACACAGCCCCTTCTCTGGAAACCTTTACTGTCTCTAAGATGGACATGCATATGGAGGACTAAAATGTAAAAGGAAAGAAATTTTAGCTCAGAACTTCAATGAAAAAAGTAGTCCATAGAGAAGAATTGCTACATGAGGAATGGGTTTATAAGCATACTTTTTTGAAATATTCTTTATGAGATCTTAAAAGAAAACGGTAGCTTCCATCTTTGTATCTCCCTGAACCTTAGTGTAGAAGATACAGTGATGGGTTTTCTTTTTCTTTTTTTAATTTTTATTTTATTTTATTATTTTATTTTATTTTATCTTTTTTAGTGATGGGTTTTTTTTGAGCAAGTCTTTATAAAAATCTTGTAGAAACAGTGTATTTATTTCCCATAAAGCTACTTTAGGCCGCCCAACATCCATTTTCTTTGATTGGGCCTAGAATTTTGAATCACAAGTGAATATAAGTTACCATATTTTATTTTATTTTATTTTATTTATTTATTTTTAAGTTACCATATTTTAAATGATATTTGCTTGGTGAAAACAATGTTTCAAAGATACGCTGAAAAGGGATTTGGTGTTTCTTCTTCTTCTTTTTTTTCTTTTTTTAAAGGTTTGTGGTGAATTATGCTCGTATTAAGAGGTGTGATCTTTGTTATGATCCATACCTAGTAGGTGCTCAGTATATATTGGCTGAATGATAACAGTTGGAGAGCCCATCTGTCTGTGCAGTTCTTTGATATGGGGATTTTTAAAATTTAGCTTTGGAAAGAAAAGGCTAGTTAAATATAGAAGAGTGCATGCTACTCTGGAGAATTTTAAATGTTCAAGTGGGCAACACAGACACATTTTCTAAAAGTTAACTAAATTACACAGTATAATAATAAAAGAAATTCGGTGGTATTATATAACTTTTAAATATTGATTGTATTTCTAGGTTTTATTTCCTGTTAGCACTCAACCAAGACAGGAAAACGGGTACATTCTTTATGATTAGAAAGGACTCTTTTGCCATTAGACCATGCTAAATTGATAGTTTTTATAGCCTGACAAGAGACCAAGTCATCATTACCTGGAGGGAAACACTTAAATCATCTGAAGATGGCTATTTTGTTCTGAAGGAAAGTTTGAATTGACTGCTTGAGATTCTAAGTCTCACTTCCCAGGTGGCAAGGGTTAGTTTTTGCTGCAGAACTGACAGTTTCTACCCTCTGGGTGGGTAGATTAGCCTGGGAAATGTATAGGAGGAGAGCTTGTCAAGGAAATTCAAGGAGCAGAGCTGATAAGTTCTAGGGGGAATTCTAACCCTGTCCTGTGATTGAATCATAAGCGCTTATATTTTATGGACTTACACAAGTGTGCAGAAGATAAAGAGGAAGAAGCGAAAGAAAGAGCAAAGAGTAGAAGGTGTGGGAGGAAAATATATCAGAAGAGGCATGAAGCTCTATGGCTTGTCCAGCTTATCATTCGTTGAGTTGTGAATAAAATACCAATTCTGGGAGCATTTTTGGGGCTGATTGAAATTTTTTGAGACATTTCTTTAATGGTGATTCATGGAGCTCGAGTTATTGGATTGCATTAAATTCCAGTTATGGGAAGCAATCTTTAACAAATAATAAAAATTCATTTTTGTGTCCCTGGAGTGACTGCCACAGTTCAGTTCTAGGCAAGATGAATCCACGTGTGGTCCGTGTGATTGTCTTATAAAAAAGAGACAACTAGTAAGAAATGAGTTGTTGGAGGGTGTGAATTTATAATGAGTACGAAGTGGGATATTGTAGCTGTCAAGGAGCTTTCTCCCCCCGAAAACCAAGCTGTCATTTATATTTATACTTATGTTGCTCATAACCCACTGCTTCATAGCTAAAACAACTTAGTGCAGATTGAAACATCTTCTTGAAGTCTCATTTATATTTCACATACGAATTTGTGATTATCCAGGCTTAATCATCATTTGGACTGTTTTGTATTGATTACGTGTCTATCCTTTCACACCGATACTGTTCTATAGTATTATAGTCATTGTTGTTGGTGAGGTAAGCTCTGAAACTACCATTTTCTTCCATTATTCTAAATATTTATATCGATCACGTGTTTTACTTGGACGTTTGGTTACATCCAGCCTCTAAACAAAGTAGACAGGAAATAAAAACAATTTGCCTGATTTAATACTAATAACTAACACTCATTTCACAGTTCCTGGTTTTCAGACCCAGTTCGCCTTATATATAGTAATTCATGTGAGCTTCAGAGCAGTTACAGTAAATAAGGCCTATTAGTCTGGGCTCCCGGGTGGCTCAGCGGTTGAGCGTCTGCCTTCGGCTCAGGTCATGACCCTGGGGTCCTGGGATTGAGTCCCGCATTGGGCTCCCCACAGGGAGCCTGCTTCTCCCTCGGCCTCTCTCTCATGAACAAATACATTTTAAGAATCATTGAAAAAAGTAAGGGCTATTACTGCCTACAGTTTACAAGGTGAGAAAAGTGAGGAGCAGAGAGGTTAAGTAATTTTCCTGACTTAAACATGGCAAAATGAGTGTCAGAGCCAGGATTTGAGCCCAAGTAGTGTGAATACTTGGTAATCCCTACTCCACTTTTATAGCTCAACTTTTAGTTGAGCCAGGGGTAGAGTAAATGGCTATGTTACTCCAAAGCTTTATTTTAATATGATTATTTATTAACATGGGTATCCATCCCTTACTAGATTATGAGCTTGTAAGAACAAGAACCATGTTTTATTAACTTTGTCATATACAGCGTTCAATAAAAATTTTATTACTCTTGAATTACAGCTTATTATTGCCTTGAGATACTCACTCTGTCCAGGAGACTGTCCTGAGAAGTCACTGGTTTTATATCCACAGAACTTTTAGATCCACAAAATAAAAAAATTCAATTGCTATCTGTGAGGTGGGATATTAGATTCATGATGCTCTTGTTTCTTTTCTCTTTATAAGAATACAATAGCATGAATGAAGCAGACTTTTTAATTGATACGGGATAATTTTAGAACCGTGTTACTTGATTGAAATTTTCTTCTTCTTCTTCTTCCTTCTTCTTCTTCTTCTTTTTTTTTTAATACTGTTTCCTACAGGGTGCTGCTCTAATTAGAATGCTGGCTAATTTTATGGGCCATTCAGTATTTCAAAGGGGTTTACAGGTGAGTAAGATGCTTTCTATTCTTTCTCACATTTTCCTTGTCAATATATTTATTCTAAAGTGATTTCACAGCTTGAGAAATTGCCAATTCAAAATTGCTGAATTTGTTGGGAAACTTTAAGATGAATAAGGTAAGCAGTGTCTTTCCATATGACAAATGAAAGTGGTAGATAGGATTCTTACTGTATCAACTGGTGAACCTTGAACTGTTATGCAATTTAGATCTGCTTAATATGCATTTTTAAATTGAAATATTTTTCAAATATGCGAGATTCTCAATAATTGGCATAAGATTTCCTGAAAGCCTACTTCTCTTTCCTTCGATATAAAAGTTTATATAAAGTGAAAATAAATTCTGTTAGCCTTACTAATAAAATTATGTATTTGAGAAAATCTTAATGCAATTTTTCAGACATGTGCCTTGTATGTTGTTGTTGTTTTATGATTGATATGCATAAATTATTTCTTCCAGAGATGTTTAAATGTTTTTACCATTGGAAATACAATGTTTTAAATGAAAGAAAAAAGAAACAGTGTTATCATACTGGATTTACAGTATGGAGTATGGAATTTAAGAGTGATTCTTTAGAAAGGAGGATTCTTAAACTTTTTAAAGCAAACACAAATATAGAAAAATAGAACTTTTATTCCATTGAATCTGTTGGAGTAAATCATGTTTCTAGCAGCTGTGATTGATGAATTATTTATGATGCATTCTGCTACTTAGAAGTGTCCTTTAAAGTAAATTGATGTTCACCTGAAATACAATTATGCTAAGACAGAGAGAGCAATCAATCTTATCTGTTCTTAGTAAGCTTTTCATTTTGAAATTTAAATAAACTACATATGGGATGAGGTCATATTTTAGTAGTATAATTCTATCTTTACCCGAAATAAACTAAAAGAAGAAATACAAAGCAAGAGTTAAATATGTTATGACTGGGCTACGTGTACTTAACACAACAGAGAAAAAATGTATACATTTGTTGAAGAATAATTTCCCTTAGAAAATATTCTTACCGATTGGTTCCAGCAGGGGCTGAAACTTACTTAAATTAGCTTTTTCCATTCGGGACACCTTCAGAATAGCTGAATTCTAGTGAAACTTATTTGCCGGGTGCTAAAGTCTCTATTCTGATCACATTGTCGAGAAGATCTTTTTTTCTCAAGGAGGGCCCTCCTTGAATATCAACTGTCTCTTGAGGAATCTCCTTCCTATCCCCAATCCTTTGTTTTTCCCCATTGAAGTTGTAGCGTGACAGTTCCAGGAACTAGCTAAGCTTTCATGAGGGCAACACAAATTGAATTTGATTTCCTGGTAGCAAGTTGATGTGAAATCATTTTCTGTATAAAATTTTTATTGTTTTTCCTCATCTGTTGTGTATAGAATTGCTCAGCACATTGAATAACTCTAGTTATATTATTTGAAAAGGATTATTGTTTTGCAAAGTTTTTCTTTATTTTGTTATTTTCTGATGGTATGCAAAATGCATCCACTTTTAATACGTTCTTTGCTACGGACCCACTGTCTTCAGTTTTATTTGAAAAAGAACATACCCTTGGACTCTTATTATATTAAACTTCTATTTGAAGCTTGTATTAATGTGTGCCTTTATGCTCTGATGCTTGATTTGGTTAATTTTCAGCTGAGGGGACTCTATGTTTGTCAACATTGCATTTCATTTGCCTTGTGACATCTCATTGATCAGATAGCTCTGTATCCTTCAGTACTTTGCTTGCAGCTTTATTTATACTCATCACTCAAACTGATTTAGTGTATCATCAGCAGTTTGGATTAGTTTACAGTAGATCCCTATGTCTAGGTGATAAATTATCAACTCTTGTGCATGAAGATGTATGGGCTACATTTTGGAAATGACCTCCCGAACAGACAGTTGGTGTCATGGTGCTGAGTGGTCACCGAGTTGATGTTAATATATTTCCCGTCCACCAGGCTCTGGGGAATCTTGGCTTACATGTTGTTGTGGAAGCTAGTCTGGACCGTCAGTGCTTACCTCTGTTGGAAAATGTGTTAATTGTTTTTGCACTAACTGCGGCTCTTTCTATGTTGGCAAATGGAAGTTTATGTTCCAGACAGATCCAGAGTTAGGTTTACAGGTGGAGTCAATCCCAAATTGCAAATAGTATGTTTGTCATCTACATTTTTTTCCTCCCTCCTTTCTTTTTTTGTTATTGTTGTTTTTTTCCCCTCCTTTCTTTTCTTCCTTCCTCCCTCTTTTTTCTTGCCTTTCCTCCTGTCCTCCTTCTTTTCTTCAGTTTATTCCTGGGACTTTTCATGTTCCACACAGGGACAAATCTTATAATGGTAATTTCTTCTAAAATTTGTGTTCTCTTACAATTTTTGTATCCTTACAAACTGTCTTAAACCCTATTGGAGACAAGGCAATATATTTTATGAATATAACCACAAACGTATAAAATATAACACAGTTGACCTTTGAACAATAGAGAGGCTGGGGTACTGACCAGCCCCCTGCCCCAAACACACACAGCCAAAAATCCACATATAACTATTGATGATCAAAACTTTACTAGTATCTTACTATTAACTGGAAGACTTACTGATAACATAAACAGTCAATTGACACATTTGTATGTTATATGTATTCATTGTATGCTGTAATCTTATAATAAAGTAAGCTAGAGAAAAAGTGTTATTGAATGTTAAGGACAGGAAAATACCTTTACAACACTATACTATAAAAAATCCACGTTTAAGTAGACCTGTGTCGTTCAAACCCATATTGTTCAAGGGTCAACTATATATAGTATCTAAAATACACAACATAAAATTTAAAATCTAATATAAGTATATACTAACATATAATATATATTAGTAGCTATAAAATAATTTATAAATATAATATTTATCTATTAAATATAATAAAAGTGATCTAGAGAGGTAGTGGGTTTCTGGAAAATTTCTGTTTTGGTATGTGTGTGTGTCTAATTCCCTTATTTCTTGAATTTTATTTGATGCTTAAGTGGTTCAGTTTAGCATCGTTTTAAAATAAATTGCCCCAAAACTTCTTTTTGTAAATAGACAGTATGTACAGTCATAAAAATTTAGTCCTGGCTGTCATTAATAAGTCAGCTTCTGTTTTGATGTTTAAATTGAAAGTGAAATATAGAGCAAACCAAGCATGAACCCCTGTTGGATTATGTATGCCCTCATAAATAACATATTTTAAAGCATAGAAATGTTTATATTTTTGCAAACTCTATGTATCTACTGTTTTACATAATCTATTTCCCAAAATAATGGCTGGTGTATTTTGGGAAGCATGAGACAATGAAAACGATTCTCATTTCTGTTTCTAATTAATGGTAGGCTTTCTACAGGTCACTAAATCCTTCTTCACCCCTGACTCTACAGTTATGAAATGCAAGAGTTGGACTAAATACTCTTTAAGATTTTTTTACCAACTTTCAGATTCTCCAAATGTAACATTTATTTGATGCATTTTACTAGTTAGACAATTTGGGTTTAATACTTTAATTTGGGAACAGCTATTAATTTTATGGAAAAATTTGTAAACTAGATGTGCCAAAGTGAGTGACTCCCTGTTCTTGAGTCTTTAGTTATTATCTGAATATTAAGGCTATAAGACCTTCCATGTACTGTAACCACAGTCAAAACAGACCAGCATTTGTTGTTACAGAGGTTTTTGCTGGTGAAGTTTCTTTTTGTCTACTCCTAGGAAACTATATTTCCCTTGCTTTTTAGTTATCTTTTGTATTTTGTTGCACTTCCATATTTTGCTCTGAATATCTCACAGGTTTATGATTAAGCTGTGATTGTCTCAGGTGACATTTTCTAAGGATTTTTTTTGCAATTTCTTGGTGATTTTTAGTGTATACACTATCTTTCCTAAAGTCAGAATTTCTACTTGTAGTCCTGGAATCGGCTGGAGTCAATGGTACCTTTGGGTCTGATGGCGTTGAGGTGCATTAGAAGAGGAGGAGAGTCAGCTTGGTCTTGAGGAGAATCAGCTTCCTCCCAAATGAGTGTCATTAAAAGGGATTCAAACTAGTGACAACTAACTTTTTTTTAGAGAAAAGAAGAGCTGCTTTTGACTCCAAAGGAAGTTCAGTGGAATTTAGACTTTCAAGGTCCCCATTCCAATTCTCTCCTGTCTCATCAGAACCAGCCTTTCTTCTCAAAGACTTTGTAATTCTGCATTCTCTGGTAATGTTCTATGGAAGCAATCTTTTGTTTTCCCAAAGTCTGTTCTTCCATTTAGACAAATGCAGATGATAATTTAAGAAACTGTTGGACCCTAAAAACCATAGATTCCCAGGACCTCATTCCCCATAATCAGTCATCTAAATCTAATCAAGGCAGAAATATAGATTGCAGATTCCCAACCTTGAGGGTCTGTGTGCTGGAACATACCACTCCTGGCACATAATACAGTGGCAAAACCAAATTCATTGTAGGTATTTCGAACAGAAAGGGATTTAGCATCGAGTATATGAATTTTCTAAAACTGTTGGGAGGGTTTGAGGAGTAAAGGGCGGGGAAGGTACTGCTAGGCTTCAGAAAATCAACATATTTAGCTATCACAAAGACAAATACCCATACACTTGATGTAGTTCTAGTTAGGATTTGGGAGGGACTGAGATTAGATGGGTTTGTTTAATCCATGGTCTTTATCCAGAAGTGCCTTGAAAGACTTTCTTCAGTAGGCTTTGGTGACACCGGGGTCTCCTGAGAGTGGTCAGAGTTCATTCCATCTTCAACCCAAAATACTGTTAAGTATTGCTGAATCTTCCAGCAGTTCTTATACCTGTATTTCCTGGGGATCTTATTGTGTAAGTGTGTATTTGTTAATTTTCACTCACATGTAGTAATGCTTATGCATATAAGCAATAAAGTAGGATCTATTTCTTTTACTTTGTTTTTATAACTTATGCTCCTATAGCTCAAATCCTCATTCTATATAAGTACTATACACTTGTTTCTGAGGTAATTCAAGT